AAGCAAGCCTTTACTACGCCAAAACCCTATCCCCCCCCCCCCCCAAAATAAAACCTGGTTATAATATGCCCGACAACATCTTGACACGCCTCACATCTTTTGGCACATTGTAATCTGGAGTGAAGAAGACCAAAACAGAGCTTTATGGTCACAACCATAAGCGCTAGGTTTGGTGAAAGGTCAACAAAGTCTATAATGACAAGAATGCATCCCCACTGTGAAGCATGATGGTAGTTCACTGATCTTTTTGCAGTTGTGTGAGCTTTAAAAAGGCATGGGGAAACTTATGAAAATTGATGGCAAGATGAATGCAGCATGTTAGAAAATACTGGCAGACATTATGCATTCTTATGCATGAAAGCTGTGCATGGGATGCTCTTGGACTTTCCAGCATGACAATGACCCTAAGCACAAGGCCAAGTTGACCCTCCAGTGGTTACAGCGTAAAAAAGGTGAAGGTTCCAGAGTGACCATCACTGTCTCCTGACCTTAATATCATCCAGACACTCTGGGGAGATCTCATATGTGCGGCTTATGCAAGACAACCAACCAAAGACTTTGCATGACCTGGAGGAATTTTGCCAAGAAGAATGAGCAGCAGCTATATCATTTGCAAGAATTCAGGGGCGCATAGACAACTATTACAAAAGACTACACGCTGCCATTGATGCTAAAGGGGGCAATACACTGTATTAAGAACTAAGGGTATGCAGACTTTTGAACAGGGGTCATTTGTTTATTTGTTGCTATGTTTTCATTTTATGATCATGTCATTCTGTTATCACCAACAGCTGAATATGAATCCCATAAGAAATAAAAGAAATGGGTTTTGCTTGCTCACTCATGTTTTCGGTAAAAAATGGTACATACTGTATATATTCTCCAAGAGTATGCAAAGTTTTGAGCTTAACTGTAAACTCCTCTTTTGGATCTTAGAAATACTCCCCATGTAACTCTTACACCCCGGTCACATCAAACCCGACTTTGAAATCGTGCACGCTGTAAGTCGTACGATTTCAAAGTCGGGTGAACTGCCGATTTCAGGTCCGATTTGCAAGACATCTGACACAGATGTCTATGCAAATCGCACCAAAAGTAGTGCATGTACTACTTTGGAAATCGGTGCGGCTCTGACCAAGTCGGAACCGCACCGATATGACTGCTGTAATTGTGTATAATAGGGTGCGACTTGGCATATGATTTGCAAATTGCATGCCAATTTGCATCCAGTGTGACCAGGGTGTTAATGTATGAGACAATCTGTGATGTAGAATCATATTTTCACCAGAATAGACTCATTTCTTTTTATGTACTTCTGTTTATTGTATTAAGAAATTCTTAATAAAACAAGACAGAACTAAAAAATGTTTGCGTGCTGATGTGAAATTATCCCTAAGTAAATTAAGGTAGAGTTGTACTTCAATGTGCTCTTTAGTGAAGAAGAGGGGGTCCACTTTAACAAACACACATGTACAGTAAGACAAAGAAGAATAAAAAGAAGTACTCAAAATACCATAGCAAGCAAGCTACACGGCACAATTAAGTAGTTGTGCAAGTGATTACCTTACAATGATTACAAGTGATAACAAAATGAGTAATTTTTTGCACCAAAAACACTCCACTCATACTAAATGTCCCTCATTGAGCTGCTCAGGCATAAGCTTGAAAAAATAAAAAGATCTACTTCATTTAGATGGTGTGTTTGGGCTGAATTTATAGTAGTTTATTATATGTAGTGTTTTTAATAAATGTGATCTTTTTTTCCTTTTTTGTGCATTTAAATGGTTACTTTTTTTTTTTTTTTTTACTTTTCCACTGTCTCTTTATTTTTTGCCTTTTCTGTAAAAGACAAAAATAATAAAGCCAATATGAGGCCATGTTTTTGGCAAAAGAATAGGTTCACAGCAGATGAAAGGAACCTCTGTAACCCTCAAGAGCCATTCAAATCCCAATTCGCCTTTAAAAACAGCTTTTTTTTACTGAAATCGAATGCATTTTGCTAAAATGACAAAATAAGGGTCAACATATCCTGATTTTTGACAAAATTTCAAGAAAAATAAACACTTTAAGTTTCCTTCACGTCTGATACTAAAAACCGGACAAGGGGAAAAATGAAGGAAGACAAAACCCAATATGCTGCGAACCACAGAAAAAAGAAAAAAAAAAAAAAAAAAAGGACCCTGTTGCTACAGAGCATATTATAAATACACACCTGTAAATGCAGCTAGTAAATACACCCCTTTCCTGCTGCCTGTGTCACCAAACTGAAGTCCATGCAGAAATGGACACTTCCAGGAGTGTCAAGCTTACAGTTCATCTGCAACTCTCACTGGTTCCTCCCACTGATTACAGAAGAGGATGGTAATGTGGAGGAACCAGTGAGATCCAGACTCCCAGAAGGGTCAGTTAGTGTGAATATCATCAGAAGATTTCTATTTAGCAGGGAGAATCTTGGCAGCGAGGGCAGTGGGAAAGGCGAGTGTATAGTGATCTCATTTTACAGGTACGCCATCATCAATTTCTCTGCTTTAGCAACAGGGTTGCTATAATGAACATGGCAACCAATACAATTCCACTTTCATTTCTCTAAAGTAGGTGAAGTGTGTAAAAACTGACAGGTGTTATAAAGGTATATACTTATATTTAAATTTATATATGAAATTCAAACCTATATTCAAATCTACAGCAAGGGATCTCCAGTACAGCATATTCACCTGTGCAAATATGTGATGTAAGTGAGCACAATCAGTAGACACTACACAGCATTTTATTCTCAAAAGTTTCCTTTAATTAATCAACAAAATGACAAAATCCAGTGCAAGAAAGTTGTCAATGTCGATGCGTGTTGCCACATAGATATTTTGTTGTAAGTATCAGAAGTGCACATTTTTTTGCAATTTAACAAAATGTCATATTAAAATATTCCCTAAGCACAGAGCAGTCAGTGCTGAAAAAATTGTACACTTCCATGTACACTGCAAGAATTGATTTGGTAGCATTGAACCTTCTTAAAATGTATTCATTACATGCACACAGTGAGGCAGCCATCTTGGGCCTGAGCCAATAAAGCTTACCTATTCACCAGTAAGTGGTGAAATGACGGCGTGGACACACGTTCGCTCATTTCTAAAGGAAATGACAACCTATATTTGTGGAAACGTGCTTCAACCTACAAAACTAGCTCCCTCTAATGGCCAGAGTGAAAGGCACACTTAAATGGGGTTTCCATTTTAGATGGAAATCCCCCGATTGCCTGAGACCCATCTATGTAATAACTTTAAATACCCCTTCTGACAGCAAAAGGCCCCATATTCTTTACAGTGCCTAGGGGACCCCCTGTTATTTTTTATGTTATATAATGGCCACATCATAATAGCAGATTTCACCCACAGATAATAATGCAGATAAAACCTGAAAATATAGGTCCTGATGCTGGTAAACCCTTGCAAGCTTTGTAAGGGAAAGATCATTCTACCTGCCTGCACAGAGGAGTCTCAGTCAGAGAGAATTTCAGTAAAAAAAACAAATTGCTTATGTCTGTGTCAGTCAACAGTAACATATGGGTTGAACAGTCACTATCTGAATACACATATATATATATATAATCTCTAGTAGATTCATTAAAGACCATTCCTGACCCTTCTGTCTCAATCAAGGGAATGTTCAACTGTTTAAGAAAAAAAAAAATTAAACAAAATCTTGTAAATTAAAACTGCAGTAACATTACTACCACTCAGCTTACGGTATGGAATACAGACTTACACAAGCATGCATTCCTATAGGCAAAATCATTGTGACCATAACCGTTTTCTTTTAGTGGTCATTTCAGAAACAAAATTGTTTCCAATATAACACCTGAAAATACTGCTCATACAAAGTAGCTGTGCTCATTATGGACAATGAAAGGAGAGCTGGTGTTCTACTGCATGTGATACCATTAGTGCCAAGTCCACGGAAAGTAAGCACCTGGGACAGCTATTGATGATCATCTGTGACTTCCAACTCATGCAATATTCTATGTGCGCTACAGCGGCCTCTGAACGGCGGTAGCAGAGGCAACTACAGTATGTTCTGAGCAGACCAGCTGCACAATTGGATTTTTCATTATGTCCATTCAACAAAAAAAATAAAATAAACCAACAAACAAAAATCAAAAGTAATTGCTGATTTCCCATTTGAGTTACAAAAGAGGGAAATAATGGGGGAAAAAAAGCTTATACATTTTTAAGGCTAGAAAATGACCCATTTTCTAAAATAGTGAGAACAATACACAAGATTCCCCCCTCCCCCTTGAGGTGAATTATGGAATTCCACCATGTAACATTGGGATGTCAACTAGTAGTGGAGAAAAAATTTGGGGTTAGTGTTTGCTTGCACCTATAATCTGTAAAGGCAAACACTTTAAATACCCCATGCTACAAAAACATTGAAGCCCCCCACCCCCGCTTGTGGTTTTTTTTTTTTTTTGTTCACATCCTTCCATCACAATACTGGCGCATATTCTGCATTTCTCCTCTCTTGCAAAGGTCCTTCCAGTCAACAAGAGTAATATTCTACTCTCATCCATCCATCTAATCTCAGCATTTCCAGGTAGCTCTTAGTCTATCAGATCCAACATGTTGGTATTCTGATAAAAAAAATCCTCTATAGGAAAGGAGCAATGAAACTAGGAGAGAAGCTCTTGTTCATATAAAACAAATGCAATAAAATCTGGACATTTCGCATGCTGAAGCCTTCACCTGCACGCATTAAGCTCCAGCTTCTGCTTTTATTTTCCTAGTATTCCATCACCAAAGTCATCCATACCAAAGCCCAGTCTAGGAAAGGCATTAGTTAAAGCATTGGGTGTGTACTTATGTTGTCTTCTCTCCAGCTTTGGTAGAACAGTTCTAAATTTTTTGTATTTTTTTTTGTTTTAACGTACAGGACGATGAAAAAAAAAAATAAGTATGTGGTATGGGATCATTTATTGATGCTTTTCAGCATGAAGGGATTATCCTTTAGCCACGGGAGCTACTGCTGTTGTGGGAATTTGGCGAGTCTTGTTCATTGATGGTATTCAGCAAGCTCAAATTCTGTCGTGGATGATCCAGATCACGAGATACCTCTGCATGATCAAATATCCCTTCTTCTTCGTCTCTGTGGGGGTGAGTGTCACATGACGCACAGCTGTCACAGAAGTTTTCACCTGTGTCATCAATTAAACCATCGAGTTCTTTAAAGTCATCATGATGGCTCCGACTGCACAGGCACACTTCAATGCCCGAATCACCGGTAAATCTTCGGTGTCTGCCAGGGGTTTTGTCTTTGCCATCAAAGAAACCGCTCTGATCAAAGCTTTCAGAGCTGTAGTCCTTCAAGAATTCTTTTGACTCCTTGTCTAAGAAGGACACTTGATCTGCCATCTCGTCCAACTCAGCACCACTGGTTGGGTCATTAGACTCAAGGCCGCTTGGTTTGAATGCTACTCTCTCTAGACACGTTGTTGAAGGTTCACAATCTACGACACTTGGAGGTCGTGTTTCACTACAGCTTGCTGCAGCTGGAGAACTTGTTTGGCTATGCTGCCCAGTCCTAACTGGGTCGGTGGCTACAGCACTAGAACATGCTGCAACGCACTGCTGATGTAAGACAGTGTATGGAGGAGGAGGAGTTGGAGGTCTGTTCACCACTTCTTCATAGGGAGGTAGCAAATAGTTTGGCAGAAACCCTACAAAGACAGACAAATACACTCGTTAGTAAAAACATTTCTAAGGCCTCAATAACATTGGCAATGGCATACATGCATTTATAGAACATTTCTAATGCATATAATGTATATATTTAAAAACATTACAAGCATGGCAAAGAACAAAGCATTATTGTAAAAATAAATCATTACATGTGTATAACACTGTTTTCCTGAATTTAGGTGCATGCAGTTTAGCTCTGTTTACAATTATGGGCACCCTGGGGCAGATCAGATACCCTGAATGCGTCTACACACATGAAAAATGCAGGAAAACTTTGCCGATGGCCAACATGGTGCAGCACTCTGTTGCTCCTTCATCAAAATGTGCAATTCAAAGAGAAAAGATCACAATAGTGTTTTTACCATGTCTATTTTCCTGCTCTCCCCAACAGGTACCTCACAAGTTATTTCCAGGCAGAAGCTGGGGATATTTTAAAGTGATCTTATTATAGGGTCATGTATACTCAAAGCCCGTGCTGTAAAGAACAGGTTCTTTATTTACCTTTCTGCTGGTGTGCTGAAACGCTGCCTCTTTGCTGTAAGTATTCCACACTTTTGGGTTTTGGAATACCTGCTCCCTTACCGTATGCTGCGGCTCCTCTCACAAGCTCCTACTTCACTACTGGATGTGGATCCGGCAAAGGAGTCCACAGCGTAAGATGAGGTTATAGGTCTTATATGCACCAAAAGAATCGAATACCTGCCATGGTCAGGGATCAGAGAGCAATGACATTTCACCACATGGGCTGCTGGAAAGGAGAGTAAAGCTTTTCTTATTTTACAGCCTGGGTCATTGTAATTAAGTGACAAGGTCATTCCATGGAAGCAAGCCAACTCCTACAAAAAACTACACATGCAGTATATGTGTTTTTTTAATTCAAGATAATCTGTTCTTTGAATTAGCCAATGCAATAATAATACTAAAAATAGGGGCAGGTTAAAGCGAGTAACGCTCACAGTTTTGCGATCTAATTCTATTATTCAATTGCCTTTTGATTAATTGGACAGAGCGGCTCTAAATGCATCCATCAACCCTTCCGCTTGACCTCAGAAATAAACAGACATAGCAGGAGTTACACACCCTAGACATATGGCGACCTTTGGCATACACACAGATCTATAAATAGATAGATCAATAACATACGGAAGTAAAATGGCACCGAAGAGTAGCTGTGCGCTTCGCGGTAAGCTATGAGGTTGATCTCGTGTTGCCGTTGCTGTGCCTGGAGGCGGTGCTTAGCTCGCCGATGATGACAAACACAACAGCAGCTGAGTATTATGATTATTGTCCACACCAGCCAAAACCCTGCATGAGAAAATAAAAACATGGAATATGAAAAGTACAACTTTGTTACATTTTTTAAAGCTTCTAATTTGCAAAGATGTTCACGTTTCTAAAGAGGTCTCCTAACAAACAAATGTATTGGGCATGTTCCCTGTAGTCTTCCAGGCTGGCATCTGCCATACTGCAGAGTATTACTCGGAGGAATCTGGCCTGGGAATGACCTACAGTCTGACAGCTGTCCCTGGATGGGCGGATGGTTTTTTGGGATGGCTGTCAGTGTATGTGTGTATGCATTCCCAGCCTGAGTTGGTCTGCACAAAGCAGTGTAAGGGAAGCCAGCCCAGGAGACAAACACAAAGCATACACTGTACACAGGTCAGTAATAGAACAGACGCACAGAGCTGCTCCTTTTCTTTTGCTTTTTAGGCAGAATTTTGTAATAAAATAAATGCTTAAACCCTAAATTTTAATGCAACATAAGCAGAAATTAAAGGGAACCGTTACATTTCTGCATGCTTGTAGTATAGTATTTCCACTATTAAATTACAGAACTTCCCTCTACTGGCTGTTTGTAGTTTCACATTTGTCACTCACCAGCTCAGTTTAAAAAAAAATCCAGAGACAAAATCTTTGCCACATATGTAATGTGCAAATATAGTTCCCCCACCCCATACACACACCGCTTGTCCATATACACTCACAATTCTAACCTATACACAGGTTTTTGTTTTACATACATACTGTATAGATATAAGGAAATGACTTACAGTATAGACCTTTCTAGGCATTTAGCCTGTGTGTAGCCAATCCCAACCACTTAGTGAACCTGGGAGGCACAGCTGCAGTGTGCTTCCCCTGCTGCCAGCAGCCTGTCAAAGTCTATGACAGGCTGAAAGCTGGTGCAGATGAGTAAGGCTGAATACTTTACCAAGTGGTGCTCGTTGTTTAGGGCCCTATGTGTTCAGGGACAAAATCAAAAGCAACACAAACATTCTGAGTAGCACTCAGTACAGCGTTCAGCGTCAGAATTTGAAAGATTACAGGCAGTGGGGCTGGATGCTGCGGCTGCGCCTCCCAGCATAGTAAAACGTCAGGATTGGCCGCACACAGGCTAAAAGCCTTTTGGCCTTAAAAACAGATGTAACACAACATCCTCAGTGAAATTTCACAAAATACACAGTGGGCTACAGACCTGCACTAGGAAACTATACTGAAGATCTAAAAACTGCCAAACTATGGTTAATAGCCTGTTTCCAATGAATGTACAAGCCAATGGAGCCATACTCGGGCTGAATTCCAGGCTCCTGAAAAATTCCTCAATGTGCAGCTACTCCCAAGATTTTAATATAAGCTTTTTTTTTTTTTTTTTTTTTAAATCAATGTTGTCTTTGCAGAAGAAAGCTGTAAAAAGTGATTTACCAATAGTGAGCATACATTATTCCACAAATCTGGGTGTGGCCTTAGACAGGTCATAGATACCATTTTCTTTCCTTCCACCACAGATGGAAGGAAAAAAAAATTGCTGGATTCCCCCATCAACACAATAATTGTTGATGGGGGAATTCCTTATACAGCGCTATTGTGTTCTGCTGAAAAGAGAACACAATGTTCACAGTGGCTAAGTGGTTAGCACTTTCGCCAAGTAGAACTAGCGTTGTCTGTTTAAATATCAACCATGCCACTATCTGCCTGGAGTTTGCATGTGCTCCCTGTGCCTGCGTGGGTTTCTTCTGGGTACTCCAATTTCCTCCCACATTCCAAAGACATGCTGGTAGGCTCACTGGCTCCTGTGTAAATTGGCCCTAGTAAGTGTATGAATGAGAGTTAGGGACCTTAGATTGTGAGCCTCGAGGGCAGGGACTGATGTGAATGTACAATGTAAAAGCTCTGCGTAAATTGACTGCGCAGTATAATCACCTGAAATAAATAAATAACCGCTGGCAGCTATAGCTGCCGGCAGTGATCACGTTAAAAATCCGACAGGCTGGTTGTACTGAAGTTGATCGATGGATCGCCGTCAGTACAACTAGCCTGCCCATAGATGATCGAACCTCGGCTAGTCCCTGCTGAACCGGCTGAGATTCAATCCATCTATGGCTGACTTAAGGGTCTGCAAAGTGTGCATTAAATGCACCTAAAAACACAAGTGTGTCGACATGCATTTGCATGCTCTGTTGCTTTTTAAAATGCCCTGGAATACTTTTTTTTTCTATTATTAATTTTTTTTAAACGCCACTTAGATCTGTTTGTAAAGGAAACAGACCGTTTTGATGTGCTTATATGTGTTAACAAACGTTGCATCACGCTGACAAAAAGTAGGGTATGTTCCAGCACAGGGCGGTGCACATCAGCCCAACGCACTGCTGTGAACTGTTCTTATTGAAAAACAATGATTTTATAATGTATATGCACTGGTGTGTGTAGATCAATGCATGGCAGCACATCTGGTGTGAATAGACCCTTAGGATAGGTTCACTATAGCAATGCAGGAAGATGTGTAAATTGCACACGTCCCCACACCCACAGGTAACTGCAGCAAAAACATGCTGCTGATTAGCAAATGAGCAGGTTTGCCATTAATTCTTAACGGCACCCCCATGCAATGGAAAACGTGATGTTGTTTTCTGTGTGTGGAAATACATGGTGCACAAACACCATGCCATTTCCCTGCAGCTATGTCTTTAAAAAAATGGTCCAGAGTTCAAATTAATGGATTGCTGTGCCCGCGTACACGTGGTGGTAGCCTTCAGCTAAATTCATAGCTAGCCTCCAGCATTTAGGTTCTAAACACAGAAGAAAATATCTGAAAGTATAAACAAGCTTCTTGTTTCCCAGATAAAGTTCTGTGTTTCGATGTATCTGCTTTTACGCATGTTTACATGCGTTTAGTTTTTGTTTAGATAAAATAGAATTTTGCTCCTCCAGGATCAGATTAAATGCTCTGAACACATTTAAACTGAATACACCTAAACATAAAATGAATGCCGTGTTTTAATTTTAAACATTAAAAAAATCATTATGTGCACCTTTATGCATTTAGAAATGTCCTATAAATGAATATAAATGCTTATCATTGCAGGTTTGTCAATGCCAGTGTGAATGTGGCGATAGGAAGCTGGAAGTGAAGGGTAGGTTGCGATTGCTCACCCACTCTGGTGGATTTGTGGTCACAAATACGTGGCCATGTTGTATAAGAGGGCAGACCAGTGAGGTGATCTTACCAGCCACTGCACAATATGCAGTCTATCAGCAGACAGGATGCTTACATTGGGGCGGATAAAGTGCTAACTTTTGCCTTTGCCCTTTATTTATAATAACATTAGATAACCTAATATAGTGTACATATTAGATTGGTGTGCCAATTCCTTTACTAAAAAGTAGTGGTCTCCAAACTGTGGCCTGGGGAGGCTGGATGTGACCCTTTCCTTGCTTTTATTCAGCCCTTGGGACACTACTTTCCCCTGAAACAAGACTGACACTAACAATGGGGTATAATTCCTGTCAATGACAAACGATGGGGCACTATTCCTTCCCAATACCAAAGATGTGGCACTGTTTACTCCCACTTATGCCAGGAAAATGTATCCAGCTGGCCACAGTCTGGACCTACTGGTTCTTTGCTTAGAAAGTTTGGAGACCCGTAAAGTAATCAATATTCACTTAATAAAGTCATTTTTGCACAGCTGCAGTGCTTACTATATAGCCAACCTTTAATTCATTGATCTTGTTTGGATCTGTTCTATAAATGCTCTATAAAAATGTAGAGAAAAAATGACAACTACTTTTCTATCAACTGCAAATCTGTAGGAATTTTTCTCCATGGTAAAGCATTAAACAATATGCATTATTTACTACATTACAAGAACAGATTCCTTATTCTCTGTGATGAATCCTGGATTTAGGAAAGCAGCCTGAATGTCTCAGCATTATAAATATAAAATATTCAATTGCAGTTTGACATTTCAGTGAACCTGTATTTCATACATTCCACTGATCGTGCCCTTCCAACCTGTTCTAGTCTTGGAGCTGGAGGAAATTCTTCCACATTCAGCACAGGATCTACTTTTATACACATCTTCCCACCTGCTGCTGTATCATATTCTTTAATCCCTGGCTGCATGAATGTGAATTGGAGTGCCAGTGATAACTGCAGAGGGCAATCGTATATTATTCCTGAGAACATGTTTATAGCAAGTTGAAACAGTTTGCTGATCATGAGAGATGTCTGGAACTGTCAGGTCTTGTTTACCAGAACTGAACATCCAAATACTTTTACACCCACCACACATGCACAGCGGTTGGAGAAAAAGTCTGTTTATAAGAACTGCTGCCTCTCTTTAACAGCTGATTATGTTACAGAGGTCAGGTTCTACCAAGCTCTGCATCCCCCTCCTAAAACCAACAACCCCAGAGGTCCAAAACAAAAAATCACTGCAGACTAAGGGAAGAAACAAAATAAGACACTGTAGGATAATTTCAGAAATTTAGTTGCTTTGGCCATCATCCCTACATTTAAAAAGGAGAACTTAATATTTCTAGATGTCCCTGATAACTAAGCAGATTTTCAGTTTTTGAGTTACGGGGGCCTAAGCAGTATTTATACATGTAATATATGTAATTTTAATATTTTGTTAAATGAGCATATATCTGGATCAGACATTACCTGTGCTAGAAACCTTTGCTAAAATGTATATCTCCAGTTAAAGCTGTAGTAAACGTGTTAAAAAAAAAAAAAAAAAAAAAAAAAAAGAAGGTTTTCCCCATACAAAGTAATATTATAATATGCACAGAACATTATATGAAACTTACCTTGAAACAAAGCCCTCCAGCGACATGCTATCACCGCTGACAGGGCTTCCATCTTCACCGCCAGTAACGTCACTCCCACGCATGCGCGGAAGTTTTAGCCACGGCACACAGCTCTGAAGGAACAGCATGGGTATGCTGTTTCTTCCGAGTGCATGCACCTGTTTATGTTACCGGCACGGTGAACGTCTAGGAGATATTCCTTTTACCTACAGGCAAGCTTTATTATAGATAAGAATAGAAATGAGAGGTTACTACTACTTTAAGATTAGAAAAGTGTGCTGGGAGAGGAAAATTGCACATCACAACTGATCTATTGCTTACAGAGCAGCTGGGAAATGCACTTTGCCTCCTCGCCACTTCCTCTTAGATTGCAAGCCCTCTACTCCTCCTTTGTCTTATATTTTTTTCTGGAGTCGGTTTACATTTCTTAGTGTTGTACAGCAGAATTCAACAACTGTGACTGTTAAGTTGCTGCCTGCAAACTGCAAGACACTCAAGCTGCCAGATGTCCGGAGATGAGGCCAGGAATGCCTGCAATAAATATATTGTGATGTCTGCCTTACTGTTGGGAAAGAGAAGGGGGGGGGGGGGCATGAAACACAGACCCTGGACTTTCATTTGTAGGAAGAAATCAGAAGTAACCGGTGAGCCACCACACCAAAGGATGAGTATATTGTATGTTAAATATACTGAAGATGCACTTATTATCTTGAACTCTGTGCATTACTTACTGACCTGACCTCTGCATTCTGAGTGTTACTTAATCCTGACCTCTGCACTCTGTTACTTTCTCCTCTCCGTTTCTTACTCCTGACCTCTGTACTCTGCGTTACTTAATGCTGACCTCTGTACTCTTTACATTACTTACTCCTGACCTCTGCATTTAGTGCATTACATACTTCAGATCTCTTCACTCTGTGCCTTACACACTCCTAATCCCGTTCTCTAAATTATTTAATCCTGACCTCTACTTTCTCTGAGTTAGTTACTCTAAACCCTACACTTTGCGCATTACATATTCCCGACCTCTTCTTTGCTTACTCCTGATGTCCGCGCTCTGTGCGCTACATACTCCTGACACTGGGTTTCTCTGTTACTTACTCCTGACCCCTGCACACTCTTCCTTAAAACACTCTTGACTCACTGCAACATAGGTTCAAGTTTTATTTAACCATACCCCTTTAAGCCTCTCTCACTAACTGAAGTTTGACCGCACCCGCAATTCCCCATCAAATTGTGCGCATATTGTCTAACATGGTCAGTAACACGTCTCTGGATTTAATTTTGAAAATCTGGTTACCTTAGCATATGCAGAAATCAGACTGACACAAAAAAGCTGAACCCTAGTTTTGCTTAAAATCACTTATAGGTTCTACAGCTAAAACAGAACACGTTCTCTTTTTTTTTTCTAGCAATGTTTAGTTTTTAGATAAAGTCGTCATGTCTAAACAAATCTACTCTTGTATGGAAGGTGGAGCTTGGCTGAGAATCTGGACATACAAACTGTAGAATACAAAGTTGTGTTTAAAATAATAGCAGTGTTTAAAAAAGTGAACAAAAGCTCAAAATCCTTACAATGGCTTTCATTTCCACAGAAGATTTAGCGTTCCTGTGAATCACTGAATATTTAGTTGTAAACCACGGTTTCTAATAAATTGCTTCACATCTGTGTTGCATGGAGTCAACCAACTTCTGGCACCTGTGAAAAGGTATTCCAGCCCAGGATGATTGCACTACATTCCACAATTCCTCTGCATTTTTTGGTTTTACCTTAGAATCAGCATTTTTGATGTCACTCCACAAGTTTTCTATTAGATGAATGTCCGGGGATTGGGCTGGCCACTCCATAACGTTAATATTGTTGGTCTGGAACCAAGATGCTGCTCGCTTACCGGTGTGTTTAGGGTCATTGTGTTGTTGAAACACCCAAGAAACAGGGCATTCCTCTTCAGCATAAGGCAACATGACCTCTTCAAGTATTTTGATGTATTCAAACTGATCCATGATCCCTGGTATGCGATAAATAGCAAAAACACCATAGTATGAGAGATATCGTAAATTGACAGAGCTATACAAGTACCTGAAATAAATATCCCCAGATCATGAGGCTTGTGCCACCATGCTCCATTGTCTTCACAGGGTACTATGGCCTGAATTCAGTGTTCGGGGGTCATGTGACAAACTGTCTGTGGCCACTAGACCCAAAGAAAACAATCTTGCTTTCATCAGTCCACAAATTGTTGCACCATTTCTCTGTAGACCAGTCATTGTGCTCTTTGGTAAATTGTAACCTCTTGTGGACATGTCTTTTTTTCCAGCAATGGGACTTTCCGAGGGCTTCTTGTTGATAGCTTGGCTTCACATAGGTGTCTTCTAATTGTTACAGTACTCACAAGAAACTTAGGCCTTCTTTGATCACCCTCCTGGAGCTGATCATTGGCCGAGTCTGCCATGTTGGCTATTCTTCGATCCATTTGAATGGTAATTTTTGGTTTTCTTCTAAGTCTTCTGGTTTTGGTTATCATTTTAAAGCATTTGAGATCATTTTAGCTGAGCAGCCTATCAGTTTATGCACTTCTTTATAGGTTTTCCTCTCTCAAATCAGCTTTTTAATCAAAGTGCGCTGTTTTTGTCTGGAACAACCTATTTTACTCAAATTTTCAGAGAGAAATATATAACATCTGCTGCCTTCATCCTTAAATAAGGGCCACCTGTTTTTTCACAGACTGAATGACCTCACTAATTGAACTCCACACTGCTATTATTTTGAACATGCCCCTTTCAATTAATGATCCAATTACACAGAATCAGCATAATGCATGTCATGTCTGTTGGGTCTGTTGGTTTTCTATTACTCTACTACACCTGCTAGTAAATTATTTTCCATGCATCTTGATCTAGTGATGTGCATGACAGCAGAGACTCTCTTGCTCCTCACTGGCTCACATACAGCAGCAAGAGCCATTGGCCCACACTGCTGTACATCAGAGCCAGTGAGGAGGGAGCGGCTTACACTTACCCTAGGTTCACACCTAAGCGTTTTCTGCAGCGTTTTGTAGAAATGCAGTATAGTCTATTTAACATGATTTCCTATCTTTTACACCAGAGGTCAACAGAGAACATGCCTGGGAACCAGTTTTATACTATGCAGAAAAAAATAGAAAAAATTAAACAAATACAGACTTACACCATAGCTCATAGTAGTAGTTGCAGCACTGAGATTGTCCACAGCAGTGACCCGTTTCACATATATAACTCTGATTGTTTAGTCCAATGCATGTTTCCTTATCCTATGTACACAAAAAAAAAAAGGAAACCGTTAGGTAAATAACATACATTTTCTTAAACAATATTCAAACGTAATATTTCCTACTTGAATAAACTAGTTAAAATACACCATGGGGTTGATTTAAAAAAAAAAAAGAATTGCATAGCCATTCACCCAGTGAAAATGCACAACGCATTGATTCTGTGTGAATGGGGTTACAAACATGTAAACAGGGTATGTTCTGTGTTGTTCCACGGTAAATAATTGATTTTAAAGGATATGTTCACCTTTAAGGTCAGCTCACACTACATGCGTGTCAGTGTGCTTTTGTTTGCATCGAAATCGCACACAAAGTAGGTTATATGATTGTCAATGTCATAGTTCACATCAGTGCTTGCAGTTCCAGTGCATTTGGTTGCAGAGAAAATAAAAAAAAAAAAAAGGAAGCAGAACAGGCTGCATTTTTCCTGCACAGAACTGTACTGAAACGTGGTAAACCGTATCAAAAAACGCACCAAAAAATGCACTGGAACGCCCATGTCCCTAATTGAAAAAGAAGAGGGGAAAAATTAACTGGAAAGCATCAAAAACGCACCGGTACACGTCAAAAACACACCAGAACATGCCAAAAACGCACATGTGGAAACACATCCGGAACGCAACTGGACTGTGTTTCTATGGTGTGAACTGGCCATAAAAAAGGAAAAAATAATGAATGCAGATATTTGCAGGAAGAAAAAGCATTTATTATTTCCTATAGGAGCCTGCAAAGCATTACATCAATGATCAGTTGATCACAGGTGCAATGCCCAGCTCCTGCACACTCTCCCTCTGAAAGCCCATACAGAGGTACGGGTACAAGCAAGCTGATCAGTGCACTTGTAGTCCATTAAAGTGGTTATAAAGGTGGAAGGTTTTTTTCCCACAACCCCCCCAATGCATCTTGATCTAGTGATGTGCACGAGAGCAGAGACTCTCTTGCTCCTCATTGGCTCACATACAGCAGCAGGAGCCATTGGCCCACACTGCTGTACATCAGAGCCAGTGAGGAGGGAGCGGAGGCGGCACTTACCCTAGGTGCACACCTAAGCGTTTTCTGCAGCATTTAGCAGAAACGCAGTACAGTCTATTTAACATGATTTCCTATGGGACACATTAACATTTCCACGTTTTCACCCAGTGCGTTTGAAGTCTATAGAAAAAAAAAAAGTCCCTGATCCTTTCCAATGTAAACTCTGCAGCAAAAACGTACTACATGCTTTTCTACATTTTGCATATTAAATCTGCCTAGCAACAAGAAAAAAAAAACAAACAAAAAAAACAAAAACGCTGCAAAAAAAAAATGCAAAAACGCAGTGCAGAAACGGGTCAAACTCCAACTGCATAGGTGTGAACATAGTGGTGGTGTGTTTTATGGGAGTCTAAGTCAGGACTGCTGGCAGGGGACCTGAGGAGGAGGATAGGGGTTTCTATGTTGAAATATTGAAAACTATTGCACCGAGCAGTATAACATGTTTGGCTAAAAATAACAGACAAAAAAAAAACACAACAAAAGACATGACTCCAAAAGGTCTGCCGATCGATGCTCTCAGCCAATTGCGGAGAGCACCGACTGGTGTGTTCTGGCGGAGGGGCCATCCTCCCTGTCAGAACACAATAGCACAGCAGTGGGGGATCACCATACTAACATCAGATAGTCAGTATAGCGGCTCCTCCTGAGGTGTCAGTTTTTTATTCGTTCAGCCCCCTGGGTTGAAGGAAATTTAAAAAAAAAAAAAAAAACAAAAACATAAAATAAGGATGTACTAGGCTTTAACTATGGTCTCTGGCATCACAACAGGCCATGTATTGAGATCTTCCTAGGGCACAAATAAATCTAAAACACCTAAACAGATGGAAACCTCTATGCTATCCCAAATGTATACCAAAAACAATATATATTGTGTTTCAACTCCTCACTATTGTGCGTTCAAACACCAATAGAAATCAATATGGAAAAAAATGTAGAACAACTAAATGTGTATAATCCAATATAAATGTATAAAAAAAAAAAAAAAATTAAACAAAAAACATAAAATAAGCCATTTTAAAAAAATAAAATATAATATAATAAAAAATAAAAACATTATTGATAAAATGCAAATGAATCCCAACCTTTCATGTATAAAAACAGTGTTTAATAATTCATATACCCCTGTAAACTTTATAAATACTATAAAAAAAAACAAAACAAAACATGAAAACGTATACACAAATGCATATAAACAAACGCAAAATAAAAAAATTCATAAAAAGCCCCAAAATATCCAGTGAGATATTTCTTCAAAATATCGTGTTTTGTGACATGCATATGTTATGCGTGCTCATTATAAAGTTGCTGATGTGCGCCACCAAAGTGAATCATCACCTTCCAATGCTGCCACTTACCTCAAGAATTGACCCACACAGAGTTAAGGTCAAACACACTTTCCCTCTGGGTATAATAACTGGCAGTATTCCTCCAATTCACTTGTAATAGGTAAGTATCACTTTAAGAGTCCAGCCAAATCAATGTGAAAAATAAAACAAAAAAGATCCCATGGTGCAGTGCCAGAGTAACGTGATATTGCTTAAGCCCGGGTTCACACTGATGCGGTGCGGCACATCGGATGTGTTTTAAACAGGAACCGTACTGCATTCCTGTGCAAATCACATGCGATTTCTGTGCGGTGCAATTTAAGCTATACATTTTGTACGGCTCAAATTGCACCACATCAGCACCAAAAAAGTGCAGGACCCTTTTTTAATCCACACCAAAATCGGATTGCATGGGTGTTCACACCTATACGATCTGATTCTGCACATTGCACCACGTTTTGTGAACTGATTTCGGGGTGTCGTTAACTGAAAATACACCTGCAGTGGTTCGTATGAACGGGGTGTGATTATGATGCGGTGTGGATATCGCACAGAAACAGCTTTGAATTCCACAATGCATCAGTGTGAACCCAGGCTGAAAGAAGATTAAAACCACTCACAAGAATGATGCACTTGTAACATCCAGTGCACCAGACTGATCGCTTGTTTACATTTCCATTCCAATAGTATATTGCACCCTTAAAGATGCAAGTGGTGTCTACAATGGCCAAACTCACACTTCTGGGAGTAAGGACATTTTGTGACCCCCCCCCCCTCACTGATGCGTTTTGTCATGTGATCAGTGACTTAATCATAGGAAAAAACAATGCTGACATCAATAGAATGTATCTTACCTAGCCAATGGCTGCCTTGAAGCTGCACCCTCTTAAAAATAAAAAAAAAAAAATGCATTCTGAGCCCTGACTTCCTGTAGCATCATGAGACTATCCAAGAAAGTTCATATGCCATCACGCACTGCCTTACTGCATCATATAATGCAGACAGATTGTAAGCTCGAAAGAGCAGGGCCCTCGATCCCCTCATGTTTTGCATTGTATTGGTATTGTTCTGTCACATGTTCTGTCCCCCTTTGTAATGTACAGCGCTGAGCGAACTATTGGCGCTTTATAAATACTGTATAATAATAATAATAATAATAAATATAATAGGGAGTGTTCACCTCTCTGAACCAAACCTCCCTCATTACTGGTTTTAGAAAGTACTGCAGCATTGATAGTGAAGAGGTGGGTATGAGAAATCTCCTGGAGGAGGAGGGCAGGAACAGGGTGTGTTTAAATGAGGTCAGCTGATGAAGGACTTCCTCACTCTACTAACTGCACAAGTGTCCTGCAGGATGGATACCAGGAAGACATGGAGAAGTTTCTATAGAACAAAGCAGAAGCCGAGGCGGAGCCTGCTCCAGAACAAACAGCATTTTATGTTCTGCAACAGAGGTACTTTAGAAGAAGAAAAAAAAAATTGTGGAGTTAGCCTTTAATATGCAATTACTCATCACACATACAAGAGAGCAATTTACTAAAAAAAAAAAATAAAATAATTGTAAAATGGAGGTTCAGACCACTATGCACAGGCAGAACAGGTGGCGTCCATTTTCACTGTTGTGCTTCCAGTTTGTATGAAGTTTCGATGCTGGGCCATTAGGATTTACTATGCATTTCCTGTACATAGCCAGGTAAATTAACCAGGTTAAATGATGCTAAACTGCAACAGAAAAACCCATAGTTGGAAACAAACACTGAACTGAATAGAAGGCTACCAACCCTCTCATTATGAACCTATGGCTTCATGCAAACCCAAAGACAGGTTTGAGAATGTCAGACTAAGGATCTGCACATTACATACACATATAAGGATAAATGCACATGTTGTTTGTTTGTGATATGTGTTGTCCTTCCATGTGCACCTTATTACAAAGGCTAGTTATAAATTGGGGTGGTTGCCATTTTTTTTGTATAGCTTGTGCACCGATTTGGTGTGGGGACACACTGGATGCCTTCAGCTGTCATTGTGTCCTTGCTTGGTGTCCAATGTATCCCTGTGCCTTTAACCACTTCTAGTCCGGACACTTTTACCCCCTTCCTGACCAGGGCAATTTTCAGCTTTCAGCGCTATCACACTTTGAATGACAATTGCGCGGTCATGCAACACTGTACCCAAATGAATTTTTTACCATTTTTTTGAGACAGATAAAGCTTAATTTTGATGGTATTTATTCACCACTGGGATTTTTATTTTTTTTTGCTATTTAAATGAAAAAGTCCAAAAATTTTGAAAAAAAAAGTGTTTTTTTTTTATAAAATTTTGCAAATAAATAATATTTCATCATAAATCTTGGCCAAAATTTATTCCGTTATTTTTTTTAGTAAAAAAAAATTCCAAAATTAGTTTATAACCAAAAATTATATTTATTTTTTTATATTTTTTATTTTTATTTTTTTTACATACTGTCACCCTAGCAGTACAGTGTCACCATGGTGACACTGTACTACTTGTGGGGGGTGATGATTTTTTTTTTTACACTGATTGCTTTTACACCCATATAGGATGTAAAAGCAATCATTTTTCTTTCTCTCTGTCTGCATTCTTGCAGTCATTGAGAAG